GCGAGGAAGCGAAACCTGGCTTCACGTTGCTTGATGATGATGCGAATGGATTGCGTTGGGTCTGCAAGGATAGCGCGCAATACTGCGTGTGCCAGATGTGTAAACGTGTGATGATCCTGCTGTACGTACATCCTTTTATCATCTTTTGTTGCCGCCAACAATCCTAAAGTCGTGCTGTTCACCTTGCCACGGAGACTGACATGATCGACAGCATTCTTGTATCCTGCTCGATTTCTAGTAATTGAGGGAAATTCAGAGAGTCTCTCGGATACGGGGAATACACACCCACTTATTCGTAATTGATTCCGGTGATATCTACGGTGCGTAGGCGTCTGAAATCGAAATACCATCCGTTTGTAGTGTGTCCTCCTAGCTCTCACGTGAGACCACGATCACAAAAACCCGTGCTGTGATCCGTGACTGGTCTGGAATGGTGCACACAGAGTTGCAGAATGCTTCGGCAACACACGCTCCGTGGCACCGTAGCCAAGGGGTGAAGTACGGAAAAACGATTTCTTACCTCACATTTGCAGTAGCGTTCGTGATCTCATCCGTAGAATACTCGTACTGCTGGCGACGGTATTAAAGCAAACTTGTTGCAACGTGGGACCACCTACAATCCATGAACCATCATGAGAAAGGGGGACCGGTGGCGGATGCTGGGCAAATTCACGGCTAGACGATCATGGTAGAGCTGGTGTCAAAGTTGAGCATCGTGTTTTGTGTTTTTCGCCATCATGCATTTTCAGCCACACTTGTCATGAGCCGACCATCCGCAAGGTGGACAACAGCAAACGGACAGTCGTTCGATGCACCGTTCGTTGCCGGGTGCAGTTTTGTCATTCCATCCGTGATGACCTGCTACGATGAAATCGTGATGGTGCGTTGGTGTTTCGTGGCAAATCGAGGCAGGCAGGCGGGAACATGAGCCCTGATGCTTTCCTTCTTCGCATCGATTAAGCGTGTGGCTTCGCTTCGGAGCAATCGAAAGAAACAGACCCACGAGGATTGTTAGCGTTCGTACAGGTCACTCGATATCACTTGTTACCGAAGCATTTATAGGAGCAATCACGCAGTACAATGTTTATTGATCAGGGGGCGTTTCGGATGGAGCACAGTAGTCCACCGCGCAACAGTGTATAGACGGTTTGAGAATATCGTATAGTTTCGTACATTCGACGTTGTAGCTATTGTGACGGAATTAAAGGTGTAGTGGATGTGTTGCCTTTAAATTCACGATGACGGGGTACCTCTCCAATAGCGACCGCGGCACATTGGCGGACATAATCGACACGTACCCTATCTGTCCTTCACTCGTGCGTTTTACCTCGTAATGCGCCTCGAAGGTCTGTATCAAAACAGATGTCTCGCACAAGGGTTGACCGACTCAATCTTTCGCATCTGTCACGTCGCGATGGTCCATATCTCGTGAATTCGATATCTGTTGCGATTCAGTTCTTGTGCTGGTCACTGGGTTGTCAAACTTTGCCGTCATACTCGTCACTAGTAGCTGCATGTCTGTCTAGCATCCATCAGTCCGTGGCGGTTTCACTGGTTTCTTGATTTTCCCGATGAGCCAACACGAAACGGAACGAACAGGTGCGCGCCTACGGCAATATTGACGGATCGGTAGCTAACCTGTCGCTCGTCCAGGCAGATAGATGTCTTTGTGACGACCAACCATATCACAGTGGAAGAGCCTAGAATCTGAATCAGTTGCTAGCAGCTCGACACTAAACTGAACGTCAGCTATGTATCCGCGGTATTGGAAAGCTTTGTGTTGCGGAGCAATAGTTTAAAATGCACTTCTATGAACAACTTTGTAAACTCCATACACCCCGCAGCCGAGTGAACACTGGTAAGATGGGCCTGTCTGCATCAGTAGTTAGCAAAGAATGACGAACATGGAGGAGTCGAACACAAGTGACCGGCCATTCGTTCACGGAAAGTATATTGTGCGTCTTCTTTCTCAACACCTCAACTCCTGGTTGAGAGTTGACTGTCGAGATATCGCAGCTTGCACCGGTATCTCAGGCTACCAACGATCGCATTCGCCTGTCCCAGTCAGCGGTTTCCAATGATTTTTTTGGCGTCAACAGGCGCGCCGGTTCTTTCACGAAGGATGTCGTGTGCGATAAAGTTCATCTCATGTACCATACAAAACTGCTTTTGGTTCGACCAACTCGACGTGAGACCTACTCGAATGCATGACGGCTTGCTTTCTCATTCCACAGTTTACCAAGACCTTCCGAGCACCTCTTCCACACCGCATCCAAGATGAACCTTCTCATTTGCCTTGTGCTCGCTGCTGTCGCAACAACGACTACTTACGGACAAGCTCCAGAAGTGGTGGAGGGAGATCTAAACGAACTGGCGGATGGAGTTCAAGCCCTGTCGGACATTCTCACTCACAAGGAAAGTTTCAGATCTCGATCACGCTTCCCGCCCTATCCCTTGAATCCCATCCGAGTTTCTTCTGCTACTTCCATTGGGGCATGATCGCTGCGAGTAAGATCGCACTGATCGAAAAAGGGAGTGAGATCCAACGATACCCCAACCTGTTCCATGAAGCGAGTTTCCATCTCTTCATTCGTGTGTGAATTAAGACGTAAACACGTAGGCTAGTGGAAGGGTAACATGACATCAATCGAACTTGCTTTCAACTCGATTGTGACTCCTGTACTACACTGACATCTACCTGTCCAGGTCGCATTGGCACTACTAGGTCGCAAATATGTCGTCGTTGTCTGTCCGATTCAAATCCATTTGCCCCGCCCTTCGTATCCCTTGCACCTACCCGGAAGTCTTCCGTGCGATCGAGCCACTTACATGAGCTGCGATAGCGAAACCATCTGATCGCATCGGCAGGCGGCACCATGAGCCCTGCTTCAGATCTGTAATCACAATAGTATAACTGCTTCAGATCTGTAATCAGGTAATATGATATCATCTGCTCGTTAGCTTTGAGATCGACTGAAGCTGTTGTCATGCGAATCGAAAATCTATCCATTCGCATTGGGTTGTCATGGCTGTAAATATAGACTTCGTCGATGACTACATGCTGAACGAGAAGATCCCGCCCCGAATGTCCAGCTGGCGATCTTAGTGCTGTCGACAGAGTACGTACGACGTACGTACAGCGTCTTTCCCTTTTTGTACGCTTGACAAGCAGTGAATGCCAGTTTCACGCATGTCTGCGAGGAAGCGAAACCTGTCTTCACGTTGCTTGGTGATGATGCGAATGGATTGCGTTGGGTCTGCAAGGATAGCGCGCAATACTGCGTGTGCCAGATGTGTAAACGTGTGATGATCCTGCTGTACGTACACCCTTTTATCATCTTTTGTTGCCGCCAACAATCCTAAAGTCGTGCCTGTAGACCTTGCCACGGAGACTGACATGATCGACAGCATTCTTGTATCCTGCTCGATTTCTAGTAATTGAGGGAAATACAGAGAGTCTCTCGGATACGGGGAATACACACCCACTTATTCGTAATTGATTCCGGTGATATCTACGGTGCGTAGGCGTCTGAAATCGAAATACCATCCGTTTGTAGTGTGTCCTCCTAGCTCTTGCGTGAGACCTCGATCACAAAAACCCGTGCTGTGATCCGTGACTGGTCTGGAATGGTGTACACAGAGTTGCAGATTGCTTCGGCAACACACGCTCCGCGGCACCGCAGCCAAGGAGTGAAGTACGGAAAAACGATTTCTTACCTCCCATTTGCAGTAGCGTTCGTGATCTCATCCGTAGAATACTCGTACTGCTGGCGACGATATTAAAGCAAACTTGTTGCAACGTGGGACCACCTACAATCCATGAACCATCATGAGAAAGGGGGACCGGTGGCGGATGCTAGGCAAATTCAAGGCTAGACGATCAGGGTAGATCTGGTGTCAAAGTTGAGCATCGTGTTTTGTGTTTTTCGCCATCATGCATTTTCAGCCACACTTGTCATGAACCGACCATCCGCAAGGTGGACGACAGCAAACGGACAATCGTTCGATGCACCGGTCGTTGCCGGATGCAGTTTTGTCATTCCATCCGTGATGACCTGCTACGATGAAATCGTGATGGTGCGTTGGTGTTTCGTGGCAAATCGAGGCAGGCAGGCGGGAACATGAGCCCTGATGCTTTCCTTCTTCGCATCGATTAAGCGTGTGGCTTCGTATTGAAGTAATCGAAAGAAAACAGACCCACGAGGATTGTTAGCGTTCGTACAGGTCACTCGATATCACTTGTTACCGAAGCATTTATAGGAGCAATCACGCAGTACAATGTTTATTGATCAGAGGGCGTTTCGGATGGAGCGCAGTAGTCCACCGCGCAACAGTGTATAGACGGTTTGAGAATCTTGCATGGTTTCGTACATTCGACGTTGTAGCTGTTGTGACGGAATTTAAGGTGGAGTGGATGTGTCGCCTTTATATTCACGATGACGGGATATGTAGCGGAGCTACACAGCCTTTTAAGTCAGAGGAAGACTTAACGCTCTACGAGCAACTTGTTTCCAAGAACTGACGACTCTACGAGTCAACTGTCTTTACAGCTTTAGGTCCCTGTTCCAGGTAACCTAACGATTCATGTATCGACAGCACTCAGTGCTCAAGAGTAGCTACCTCAAGTAGGTGTTGCTAACTCTTGGTGATCAGTGATCAACGATCAAGAAGGCCCGCAAGCTTCTTGTCCTTTAGATCAAAATGGGAACTGATTTTATTTAATATTAAAACTTATAGAACATCTTGATCCTACTCAAAGATCTTTCGTACCTAATGGCTGACACTCGTCAGCCCCTACAAACCGAAAAGATATTCGATATCACCTTCCTAGGGGTGCCATCAGGTGTGTGGCACACCTGGTACAGAGTACCCTCTTACGTGCAATCCCGTTGCACCCTCCCCTACCAGACTGACGTTTACCAAAACGTCATTCGAACTTGTGTTCTCAGCGGGAACAGTGCGCGTACGGTGAACCTCACGGTAACGTACGCTCCAGCACGATGTCCTCATCACCAAACGAGTCAAAGGCTCTGTGTGACTACCTCGGGATAGAGGAGGAGGTGGACTATGGTAGCGATACTAGTGTCCGCGGTGATACAGGGACAATGTCCGGCTCACTGATGCCTGAGGCACAACTTTCGAACACCCCACATCCGTTCGCTGAACGTGGAGATGCGAGCGCGCCACCAGCGCAGCATGCAGCGTCTGGGTCTGATGAGACTATCATCACGAACCCGCTCGATGAGCAACAACAACTGCTTGTTCAAAGAGAAGAAAACGCTCTGCTTTATGCACAAATGGGTGTTACACTTGAGCGCCAGCGTGACTATGTGTTCACTCGACCCAGTGTGAAGGAACGTCTACGTCAAGCAGCCGGCCAAGCATTGGCGACGTGGGTCATCGGCCATGGGCCTAAGACTCCTGAGGAGGTGGTGATCTGCCAGGAACTCCGTGAGAGGTACCTGGAGCCGAACCTAATGACTCAAAGTCAATACAAGACACGCCTTAACATGCAAGCACGTGGTGCACCGGTTCCACCGATCAAGGGTATACCCATTCTCTTGTTCGCAGGCAAAACAGTGAGCGAAGAAGACGAAGTCTTCCTTCGCTGGGTGCATTACGTACGTCGCCTCAGCAATATGTATGCTCTAAGGGCTAGTGTCAATGTGGCTGTTGTGCGTCTCGAACGCAAAGCTTCGGTATAATTATGCCAAGCTTTAGGCCAGAAGCCAATTGCGCAAGCGCACGAGATATGCTTCGGCTACTACGGTAGCCGCGAGTGCTGGTCAGTCTTGGGCCAACAACCCGCCAACCCGCACCAATAGTGTTAGCGAACGGCCTCGGTCTCGAGATGACCATGGCCACGATGCTCAAAAGCTTTCTAAGCAAAAGTGCAGTCTTGCCGAAGGGGTACCTCAAATTCCCATGAGTTTTCAGACTCAGGGTACCCACGCCACTTTATCAGATACTGGTATTGGCCCTGACGACGTCGTTTCAGTAGTCTCTCGACACGAAACTGACGACACCCATGCTCATCAAGCAGAGTCGGTGGCGGCCGGTGTACCGGTGGAGACCCACGAGAAATTGCTTCTAGAAGTGGAGGATCTTCACGAGACCTTAAAAAATACCCAGTGCATGCTGGATGCGATGCAAAGCCGCCTTCAAGCGATGGAGCAAGCTCAAACTTGGAGCGAGGCTCAGTTGGACCTGCTGATTCGTCTACAGCAGTCCGGGCTACGCCCTTATCGTTGGCGCAAGCGCCTCCATGTTCACATGTGAAGGATCCCGGTACGGCTTAAGTAAGCCTACGTAGAACACTTGGTGTAAGCGCAATTTGCGCGAAAGGTTTAGCGTATACGCAAGTCCGATCTTGGTAGTGACCGTAAACGGTCCAATAAAGCGTGGACGCAACTTAGTCTTAAAGACAGCAGACACTACATTTGTAGGTAGATTTTTAGCAGTGAGTAGTACTTGGTCTCCGACCTCATAATATTCAACACAATTTCTGCCTTTGGCATCAGCTTGTTGTTTTTAATTTTTCTTGGCTATCAGCCATTGCGTCACGCACATGTCTTAAGACATTTAATCGCGTTGCGAGAAACTCGCTTATCTGTTTTTGTACAGTAGCAGGGCTGATATCAACAAGCCGATCGGCAACCTCTCCCTTACCAAGCCCTGATTCACGTAGTGATAGCGTTAACGGAACGAGAGGGTGGGTGAGACCGTTTACATAGAACAGAGTAAAGCCTGTTGAGGCATGAACAGCGTTATTTAACGCAAACTCAACAACAGGGAGCATTGAGCTCCAACGCCTAGGCGTATCAGCGCAAACACTGCGCAAAATGTCATTGATGACGCGGTAAACACGCTCAGTTTGACCGTCGGTCTGCGGATGATACGCTGTCGACATGTCCAACCGAGTGCCAAGCACCTTGAAGATAGACTTCCAAAACTTCCCAGTGAAGCGGGGGTCTCTATCAGAGATAATTGACACAGACAAGCCATGTTGGCGAAACACACGGTCGATAAGCAGCTTTGCTGTTCCTTCAGCATCGATGCTATCCGGCACAGCCGCTAAGTGAGCCATCTTGCTCAGTCGGTCAACAAAGACCACAATACCAGTGTTGCTTTCCGAATCTTTCGGTAGGCCGAACACAAAATCCATGCTCATGGACTCCCAACAACCAGTGGGTACTGGCAATCTAGCCAGCGGCGCCGCCGCATGTGCCGATGGTTTTACCCGTTGACACGTTTCGCACGTACGCACATAGGTGCGCACCCACTTATAAAGTTTAAGCCACCATTAACTTTGGCTCACCGAGCTATAAGTCTTCTCACGACCGAGATGACCACTTAAAGCAGTATCATGTGCCTCACCGAGGATCCGATACTTTAATTCCTCATCATGAGGTACTACGATACGAGGGTTGTCCTCAATATCCGTGCGATAGCACAACAGGCCATTATCAATGGAATATCGATGTAGCCTCGCACGTAAACGTTCCGACAATTCTATGTCCAAGTCTTTAAACTCATTGCTCCCAAGAGCACGTAGCAAAGCTACGCACTGATCGTCCTTGGCATATGCCGCACGAATTAAGTCAGGGACTGACGACGACAGGGTCGTAACATGAGCAAGCTCATAGTCAGGTCGACGCGATAGCGCATCAGCTAAAGCGTTTTGCTTACCTGGCTTGTACTTCACCTCGAAGATGTATTCGGCAAAGAAAGAAAGCCAACGAGCCATTCTCTGTGAGAGGTGAGGCGACTGTGTCGCAGTTCGCAATGACGCATGATCGGTATAGATCACCAATGGCTTCGAGCCAAGCAGATGGACTCTGAATTTGACAAGAGCGTACTTCACAGCAAGTAGCTCTTTGTCATGAACAGGATAGTTCTTTTCAGCAGCTTTCAGCTGTCGAGATTCAAATGCGATGACGCGTTCGCGTCCGTCGACATCTGTTTGTAACAGAGCACTGCCTATGGCAAAGTCAGATGCGTCGCAGACGACACTGAAAGGCCGACCAGAATCGGGCAAAGCCAATACTGGTGCATGAAGGAGACTCTTCTTAACTGCTTCAAAAGCATTATGTTCGGTGTTACCCCAACACCAACCCACATCCTTTTTAAGGAGATTGGACAATGGCCGAGCCATATCTGCGTAATTTGCACTGTACTTATGTAAGTAATTGGCAAGTCCAAGCCACTTACGCAAGTCCTTTTGGTTCTTTGGGACTGGCCAATCGACTATGGCTTTTACCTTAGCGGGATCCGCTCGAAGGCCTCGCTTCCCAATGAAGCACCCTAGAAAGGGAATCTCTTCTGCACCAAAGATGCACTTCGATGCGTTCGCATACAGCTTATTCGTTCGCATGCACTCGAGCACCGCTCGTAAATGATCGATGTGGTGATCCACATCTGATCGCCCATTCATTGCACGACTATGGACAAAAATGTCATCAAAGTACGTTGCATAGCCTCGATGAGGTCTGAATAGTTGCTTTACCAACCGGTTAAATGTAGCCGGGGCGTTAGGTAGCCCTTGTGGCATAACGAGCCACTCCCACAGCATACCGCTCGGAGTACTCAACGCTGTTAGCGGAATATCACTTGCTCGCATGAGCAGTGGGTAATAACCATCGACTAAGTCGAGTGCACTGTACAATGAACATCCTACCATATTGTTCTGAAGCACATCCTATCTAGTAATAGGCGTCTGCGCCGGTATAGTGGCTGTATTAAGCCTTTTTTAAGCATGCACAATACGCCACTTGCCATTTGGCTTTTTGACACAAATTGTCGGTGTTAAATGGGGAGACTTGCTCTCACGAACCATTCCAGCCGCGTGCTTAGCACGAAAGGAATCGTCGATGAGGTCACACTGTACTCTAGGCAAAGACCACTGCCGTGTTACACAGTATTTAGTTCCAGAAACTAAGTGAATTTCATGACGTACACCTCTATCGGGAGGTAAGGCAGAGGGTGGGTTGTGACACACCACATCTTAAAATTTCTTAACTAAAGGATAGAACGGATCCAAAGGATCTTTAAGGATCGAAGATCCACTTCGTGCACTAAGTGCCGCCTTTATATCCTCTAGGACAGACTCATCCATTAACAAAGGAAGAATTCAACTCAGTATCAGGTCTACTGACCGCTAGCTCGGATAACTCTTCTGCCTTTAAGGCCTGGCTAAACTCGCCATCAGACTTTTCTTCCAGCTCACAGAGAGCGTCCACAGATAGAAGGGTGTCAAGGCAAACACTGCCATCAACCTGACCAGTCACTCCATTAACAAGTGTATATAGTGTATAACTATTATCACTATGTGACTGTGAGGACGCCTGGCGCTTAAAAGTTGCTACCCGACGTCTCGATCGTCTCTTCGAGACCGTACACCCTTTAGGGGTCGGGACAACATTGTACCCATGGTTACTACCAACCATAGTACGCTCTACACGAGAGCTTTTGTCTTGACCAACATCCGGCGAAATGCTACGTAACTCGAAAACTTCACCCAGTGGATTTAAACGTGCCACTCCACGTGTATTATGCGAGTCTAGCCCTAAATTAAACAGCGTCTCGCCAACAGTGTCATTAGCGACATTAGGTGTGGTGCCTTCACGGCCGCCCACACTAAATGACAAATATACAACAATGTCAATACCGACATTATGTGCGGTGCTTATAAATCCGACCGCACTCGGTGTAGTTTCACGTGCCACCACACACACATCATAGGATTTACATTCTTGATCACCAGGCCCTAGGTCAACCAAGCTCTCACCATGCAGTGACTGGTTATCGCAACGATTAACACTAAACGGAGTAAGTGAAATTTTACTAGATTATACGAGCTATGCTAGAAACTTATTTTGGTAAAATTGAAGTTAAAAAAAATTAAGACATTCCAATATCCAGCACATTGACATCTTCTGTCAAAGGCTTGTGCCAATAGCGCTTCTTTTGCCTAGCGAAGGTGAGTACGTGACTCTCCAAAACTTCGATAGGAACATTGCGCGTAGCGCCTAAGGTCTTATGCCTCCAATCAATCCATGGCTCGTGCCGTTCAAGTCAAGCCACACCTAAGATGAGATCATATCTTGAGTCCAAATCTAGGACAAGACAGCGCTCAAAACTGTCAAAGTCTAAAAACTTGATACCTAAGTTCAATGGACTTTAGGCATAGTAACGCGACTTCCAGTTGCTAAACGAACCGTGATAGAATCACCCTCATGCGCTGTAAGCGCCTTAGCATAACGCTGACTTCCTTCAAGGGAACGGCGTCGAGCATAATTTCAAGACACTGTAGAATCGATCAATATCGACCAAGGCTTCTAAAAACCCTAAAATTTCGCCTCGGTCACCAACAAGCCAGACTTTTATCCACGCACCATACCTGTAGGTATGGTACTCTTTGAGGCTAAGCCCTGCATTCCTTTGCCTAATAAAGGTGTAACAAAACCTAGTTCTTCCCCAGTAGGGCGCCCCGCGCCTACTGGGTGTCGGCATTTGCCCGTGCCATGCCAGACATCTGACTCGGGGTCGAGTGTTGGCTTGTAGCCTGGCGCTGCTTACGCAAAGGGCAACCAGTCCACAAGTGTTTAGTGCTTCCGCACGTAAAACTTCGGCGTGCGACGAGTTGCTGCTCAGCAGCTTGTAGCTCAGCTTCACCTTCATCTTCAGCATAGCTGAGATCCATCGGTTCCGGCCTATTATAGGCAGTGGTACCCGAAGCGTTTGCTCTCACAGAGCGAGGGTTGTACCCATTCCAACCAAGTCTAGCCGACTTAAAGTTACGCTCAGCACTAAGGGCAATTCTCACAGCCTCATCAAACTTTAAGGGGTGAGCCCGAAAAACCTCGGCTCTGGCAATGCCAGTACGTAGACCTTCCATGAAGATAGTCATATAAACTACCGCAGGCAGAGAGTCAGACTGCATTGCAGCCATGAGCGTTTGCAGCTCTTAGACATAGTCCGATAGTTTATTCTTACCCAGGCGGGTAGAAATAAAGCGTGAACTCACGCGGTAAGCCTGGTTAGGTGGAGAAAACACCTGTACCAATTGTGACTTGAGCGACTCCCATGTACGAAACGCTATGTCCACCGACGTGCTACACGTCAAGTCCCATTCTCTAGATCTTCCATCGAGCTTTGAGATAGCCAGCGAGACCTTTTGGTGGTCAAGCGTGATCAGGCCTGATCTCAAGGCCATCGCAATCTCACGGATCCAGAGGATGAGGTTCTCACCCTCCTTATCGGAGTAGTTTTTTACTTCC